CAGAGGAGATCCGTCATATTGCCACCCTCACTGCTTTCAAAAAAGCATTAAAGGCGGATCTCTTCCGGCAGGCCTTCCCGGAATAACTTTCCGGCTTTAGGAGATAATTATATTGCCCTCCTCCTGCTGCTCACTCTGTAATTTGTTGTGCTGTTCGTTGTATTGTTGGATCATTATTTATTGTGTTATGTTTTCAGAGCATGTTGTTTTAATTAATAATCAGTTTAATATTGTTTTAAGGGGTGGGAGGGCTGGATGGGTATGTGAATTGTTTTATCCTCTGTATTTCCTGTATTTTAACTGATGTAACCCGCCCCGATTGCTCCGCAGAGGGGCGGGCTATAAATAAAATTTATTATTATTATTAGAAATGACTCGAAGTTGCACAACAACAACAACATAATAGAATTCGATTTTCTGCTGTATGTTTTCAAGTTATGCTTTTCAATCAACATTTTATATGGTTTTATTTCCTTAGACAATTTAATATTATTTTAAGCTTAACTTTTTGTATGTTTTCATCTATATTTGGTTTTACTTGTATTTCATTTATTCTGTAAAATGCTTTGAGTCTCATTCTTGGAAAAAAGACAGGATATAAATAAGTGATTGAGTGACAGATTGATGTACCAAGGATTGCCTAATCCTGACTAGGATACCATACTTGTGTAACCACCAAGAAAGAGGATTCTATGGGAAGAAACAATCCCATAGATAACCTGGACCCAAACCGTGTAGGGATTGAAAGGTAATCAACATTTTTTTACTTTGCCTGGAAACTAACTGCCAGCCAGTGGAGCGATTTCAATACTGGTTGCTCCCACTACTATGGCCAGAAGTGTAATTGATTTTTTCCAAGCTCTGTACATAAGTTGAATGGTTGCTCCCCACCTTTCTTTACCACATTCTTGATACATTTGAGCAAGACAAAGGGGGGGTTGCAGACTGCCAGAAATAGTGCAAATTGAGTCCACTTTTAGGGTTAGGGAATCATGGGAACTATATTTTATTGTGGCACCAGAGCCCTCTGACAGAGAAGATTCAATGTCTCAGAAAGAAAAAAACTCCCATGATTCCCTAACACTAACCCTAACCCTAAAAGTGGACTCAATTTGCACTATTTCTGGCAGTCTGCAACCCCCCAAAGAAAGAAGAAAACAAACAAATAATAAGATGGCCATCTATCAGCTGTACTGTAGTAATACATTTCTTACATCAGCTGGTGTGGAGAGTGGACCAGGAGGCTTTTGAGATCTCTAAAAATTCTATGATTATACATCGTTGTTGTTGGAATATAACTCTGAGCAACCTTCACCATTGGCTATGCTGGCTGAGGCTTCTAAGACTTGCTGTCCAATGATACCTGAAAGAATGTGTGATTCCTACCCCAATAAACATATAAAGATTAACAAGCTGCTTTCTCCACAAACCATCTGGAATAAGCAGCTAAGCCACCATCCCGTTATAAACTAAGGGCCTAAGCAGACTGCCAGAAATAGTGCACATTAAAT